TTTGCCACTTTATTCCTCGGGTTTCGTGGACAAGAACACAACGTTGTTCCAGGAAGATGGAGCACCGTGTCACACTGCTAGAAACACCTAAAAGTGGCAGGAAGAAAATGGTACCAAGAAGTTGCCCTGGCCAAGCCAATCTCCTGACATGAACCCCATCGAAAATCTCTGGGCCATACTCGACCGGCAAGTCAAGAAACAACCAAAAAAAACAACTTCAAACAGCGATCTACTCAAAGTTTTGAAGCAAGAGTGGGCAAAAATCCCACAATCTAAAATTTACGAGATGATTCTCACTATGCCCCAAAGGATCAACGAACTCCACGAAGCGAAAGGAAGATCAACTAAATTATACATATATCAATTCATGTGAATATGACTGAAAAATTTCATTTTTTTCTGAAAAGGTGGTCTATTTACTTGTGACCATGCTGTGTATATATCTACATATGCTGATGTTTCCATTTTATTATGTTATATTTTAAGAGATATGCAAGAACTCAGCTAACAGATGTTTTCCACATATAAAAGCTATCTTCAAAAATATAATTGACAAAATCCTGAACAGATCAAAATTGCAGTCCTTCTTAAATGTTTAAGATATAATATATTCATTTTCATTTTAGTCAGTTAAAAATTATGATCTTAACTTGACTAAGCTAAGAAGTATGCATTCCACATCTACATCTGTTTCACCTTAGAGGGTTAAGTATTATAATTTATTTATAAATATTTTCTTGTATTCTGTTTAGTAAGAATAATTTTAACCACTTAGCAGACTCATTAAGAGCTCTTCTTCATAAAAACTTATAAAGTTAGTGCTAGCAACATGCCTCTGCATAAGGTTGACAATGTTCAACTAGGAAATTTGGTCGAAAGTTGCGATAGCTAACTTTTTCTGAAAGTCTAGAATTGAGATCTTCCACAGATTCTTCAGATAACAAGCTGAACGCTGATTCATCTTGAAGAGTGAACTGCAATGAGAGTCAGTGATCTCTTTAAAATAATACAGAAGACAATTCTTTAAATATAACTATCATTACAGCATCAAATATCAGGTTCTTACATCTTAACATTTTTTAATCTGAAAATGTATTTCCAAAAAATACTCACCTCTACACACAGAATAGCTATATCCCTCACACATCTGCCTAGGAAACTTGCATGTCAACACTCTTGAACTAACTTCCAGCTAAAATTCATGTGTTTAATATGAAATGCACTGGTGCATGATGCCACAATAGCCCTCCACAAATAGGAGGGCAACACAACCTCCATGCACAGTAACTTCCCTCTAGCACTTGCACTTGAAATAACTTCATCCATAGATGAGGCAAGAAGAAAGTACATTGGAATTAAGGAGATTGGGTGGGAATGTGTAAAGAGGTAAGTATCTATCAATCTATCAGAAATATATTTTGAAATTTGGAAAATGCTAACTTCCAAGACAATACTTACTTCCACGCACAAAATAGCTAGAATTCCGCATTGAAACTAGATAAGCTCCCTGCAGGATGTGCCCGAAGGGAAAGCCCAGGAAGTGTGACATCTGAGGGAAGGGGATCCATAGGGGCACACCTGTGAGAGCCAGCATCTTGTCTCAACCAGGTAGTGTTCTTCGTCCTAGAATGTAAGGGGGAGGGGGGTGAGCAAATAAGCCCAAAGTGTCACAGGGATGGGCAGAACAAGAACATGACCATCTGAGCACTCATACACAAGTAGTCAACGAATCAATAGGTGTAGTGTAGTTGGGGCACAATCAAACCATATGGGTGTGCTCAACTCAACTCAACTGGACAGATTCAGGCTGTAGGACACTCCAGCTGTTTGAAGGTAGAACTGCATTACACTGACAGTGTCACCACCACCCCACATCTCATGTTCTTGTGCTAAGCCCAATCAGTGAAAAACTGTTCATGGTCTACCACTCCAACAGCTAGGAACTGGTAAGTGGCAAGGGTCTCCCATATTCCATTTGAAAAAAGGGAGATATAATTCACATTGGGGAGACCTGGAGAAGTGCTTGAATCCCCATCCAACTCCTGCTAGAAAGGTTTTTTACTAGAGACAGTGCAATGGGTGACCACAAAACCTCATATGTAAAAGCCAGCAAGCACGTGCCAAAGAAGTGGCATTCATGTCCCTGGTGCCGACTTTTTTCCACGATAGTCCACGGAATAGTATTGTCTGGATTGGCAATTAAGTAATTTTGTATATAACAAAGCTACCTCATGTGGTCTTGCAGTACATCCCATCTCAACCGTGGGCATTGTTAGAGCCAGGGCAGATGGTGTGAGTGCTTTCTGTTACTCCTGGCCCCATGTGGGTTTTGGAAAATGAGGATACCCTGCAAAGCAACACAGGCCAACTGGTGGAATCCTGTTATATGAAGAGTGAGAAAAAAGAAAACATAACCTACCTCAAGGATGGTGACTGGTGGGATCAAAATCCCATGGGAGATAAAACAGCCTGATGATGAAGATAATGAGAAATGAATGGTGGAGAGTTTGCCACATGCCTGCCAAGAGGATCTCATCAAAGGACCGGTGAAAATAATAACAAGAGAGTGAGACAAGAGACAAAGGAGAATCAATGAAATGTGAACAACTGGTAAGGGTAGAAAACATGAGGTCCCTGGATGAAGAAGGGTCCCTGGGGGAGAAAGAGATAATGGTGGGAACCCCTAAAGGGAGAAGTTCATGCCAAACAACACTGACATGTCGTAACTAGGCATAGGAGCTGATCTGAATCAGACTGAGCATAGAAGTAAGAGACATAAAGAAGGGAGATGAGATAGAAAGAATAGCCACCTTCCTAAGACACTGAAGGTTGAGAAAGAAAAATGGTCTAGGTAAAGAAGTAAGAAGTGAGGTGGAATAGTGTGTGAAAATCACCAATAGCACAGATATCTGAATGACAGTAAAGATTGGCAAAAAGGAAAAGGAATGAAATCATAAGAAAAAGGTGGTAAAAAAGAGCAAGAAGCCAGTGGCTTGAATGGGCACATGTGAGGGCACGTAATACCACATAAGGTCGCAGTTAGGCATGGGAGTCGGGCAAGGGGTAGGAGATAAGGGAAGGATTGGAACAGAGTGAAGAGGACAGGGAAAGAAAATATCCTGTGGTAACTGCAAAGGAGAAATGTATTGGATAAGTGTGCCCAGTAACAAGAAGTGGTGGAGTCCAACAAACCATGGTTGAACAATCAAGTGAAAAGGCAGAAAGATTGGTCACAGTAGTATAGCCATGAGGAAGGGAGCAGTTGAAGGAAAAAAAATGAGAAACTCACCATTTTCATTGATAGACAGACAAAGTGGAAGGATGAAAGGAATAGGATAAGAGCAATGGACTGGACAAATCCCACACATGGAGATGAAAGGATAATATTCCTGGAAGAAAAAAGGGATGTGTGTGTGGTGAAAGCAAAAAGGAAGGGATAATGGGTAGAAGAAAAGGGTCTAGACACCAAACAAAGAGGTAAGAGAAAATTAGGGATAAGCTGGCCAAAGAGGCATCACCAATAGGACCCAACAAGGAGTGTTGCATATCAAGGCAAGGACCAAAGGGAAGAGTCTAAGCAAACAGCAGAAAGTGAGATCAGTCCTGGCAGAAAGCATCAACCAGAGTCAAAGGATGAAAAACAAGGGACCAGAAGAGAGGCAAAGGCATATCTGAGAGTTGTATCCAACTGTTATGATATAAAAGACTGTTTGGGTTAAATATTAGTGAAGAAGAATAGTCAGCTATTCGAAAGAGCTCGAGTTTTGGGTCTTATTTTAAGTTTATTACACTTTATATGTGCTCCTTTGTGCTAACTCTTTTATCAAGAGTGATTAATTTATATTTGTGAGTGAATACTTTATTATTTTTAAGTTTTGTTATAATAAGAGTTAAAAGCCGATGATTGTAGAAGGTTTTGTTAATAACTAATTGGTGTCAAGAATATAGAAAGTGGCCAGATGACTATGTAATAAAGATATAAACAGCGTGAGATGAGCAGGAAGCAGCAGACAGACAACAGTAGACAGATAACAGCAAAAAGAATACAGTTGTGTGAAGTTAAGTAATGTAAAAGTGACAGGCCTAACGTTTAATATGTTAGATTGAAACTAACAGTATAAAAAAAGATAAGAAAGATAATTTTATTCTGTCA